AGTAGCAGCGTGTATAGTGTCAGTGCTAGGATGTACTTGAAAGACTTTGCGTACCGCAGGCGCCTTGAGTTCATAGCAAAAGAGTGGCTAGTTGTCAGTGTTCGGAGCGCCAAGTGCCAGACTTCAGTTGCTAAACCCTACTGGATTCTGCGAGATGCTGCTTGCGTAGCCAGTTTTAAGCAAAACAAGACTGCGCCAGAGAAGGTTCTGGAACTACGCTAAGTTTCGAGTTGGGTGACCCTCGCAGTGGTCCGGACAGACACCGCTTTTTTTCGAGTGAATTCATGTGGGGCCATCGAGACCCCTCGTAACGTAGTCTGCACGAGTATCAGGCCATCTTGAGGCGAACGTCTCTGTGAACTTCGCATTGATTTGATGTCAGTCATTGATATCTATATGTTATGTATCATCTGCATATACTTATGTATGCATATGGCAATATATACTGTGCATGTGTGCATACATATATATATATACATACACATCTTTTTTCACATATTCTTATGTATCTGTAACATCCAAGAGAAGATCGGCAATATAGAGTAGGGTTCAAGCAACCGGAGGCCCGGAGTCGCCACAAGGCTGGTTTTCAGGCCTCGGTGTAGGCCGAGATTATGGGAGGGGGTTCTTTAAATTGGGGTCCCGTTTCGGGTCGTGGCCGTACGATATTGGGGCCGCCCAAAAAGGGACCCTAATTTAGAGAACTACCCATGGATTAGAGCTCTGCGGCAGGATCCTTCCAGGAGGTGATGCCAGGAAGGGCCCAGGCTATCCGATGGGGACCGCTTTTTGCACCTGGCAGTGAACAGAGAAGCTTGGGGTCGTGTGGGTTAGGCTCTTACTAGGCTCTTACTCGGATCCTATGCTCGCTTCTGCCGGTGTCTTTTGTGGTGGTTTCCCTCGTGGCCGTGCCTCGAGAAGCTCTATGGAGACTGTTTTTTAGGATGGAGGCTTCGCACCGGTCTTTGCCGGTCATTCCTCGAAGCTGGTCTGATGAACTTAGACTCAAACTTCATGAGAGAGTGGAAGTCTCCGTTCGTCTGGAAATAAATCAACATTCTGCAACACTACAGCGACGCCATTTGAAGCGGAGCTGTTGCAGCTGATACTGCACTATAAGGTAAAGGTTACTAGCACTTGGCAAGCATCCTACGATATCGTGCTCGGGCTATTGCTGGGTTGTCCTGCAACAGACCTGTCTGTCCGCGAGTGGCTGACATTTTTCCAGAATGCTCAGCTTCGAGCCGCTGATCACGAGTGAGGTCGCCGGGGTTCCAACTTGGTTCCAACGAGCTCCTTGTCTCTGGGACCTGCTGCAGCACCTCACCAGACAGTGCTCTTGAGCGAAACAGGTGCCATCAAACCACAGTAGAGCCGCTTCGGCTACCAATTGAAGCTGTGATTCATCAACGGCTTCATTGCAAGTTGGTTCGTCCGTTCGGTGTACAGAAGCTGTGGCTGGAGTGCACTTGCCAGGCAAGCAGTAGTGGCGCCGCAGCAAGCCACGCCGGCCACACCGGAGATTGGGAATGCGGTTGGAGCCTCAGATCATCACTTTGTTTCCTCCATGTGTTTGTGAAACCTGTCTGAACTTGAATACTCAGGGTCCTATGCTGCTGAGGATGTAATTTTGCTCATGCCAGACCCGTCTGACACCATCGGAAACTCGTGGTTGGAGTGTTGGCAAAGTTGGCTCAACATGTGGCGCTCGTTGCTGATTGCATGCTAATTGCCGAATCTACGATGGTCAGCCTGCGAAATGCCTCGACACGCCAGATCACTTCACTTCCACAGCCAGCCGGGACTCGAACCCTTCCTAGCCGCTTGCCAGTAGAACCTGCCATGCCACCGCCCAAGCGGGAGGATGTGCAAGTTGGTGAGGAGAAGTGGAAGGCCATCTGTGGTGCTCTTGTCCAACATGAAAGGGCAGCCTTCGAAATGCAGCCCAGAGCCGAAGCCGTCAAGCCCTCTGAGGAAGCCCAACATGGTCCAATGTTAAGGGAACCTGGCACTCTCGCCTTGGCCTTTTCCCGATTCCAAAACTCAACCGGAAGCTGTCCAGGTACCGTTCTGGCAGGAGCCGGTGAAGCAAGAACAGCTGGCGCTACACGAGGACAAAGGGCTCTTGGATTTTGAAGTCTTCTCGGATCGGTATGCGGATCCGGCTGAGGATGGCAACCTGATCTACGCCAAGAGAGAGGGGCCGCAGCCGGCATGGCTTGTCAGGTGTGTCAGGGGCTTTGGCGATGGCTCTTCCCATCAGCATGTGAAGTGCATGTCAGCATGTGCAGATCTCTCAAAGATGAACCTCATCCCTTGATTACGCTCCAGAACGGCCAGGTATTTGCAGAAACGAGCAGGAAGATCACGATTCCGGTGGACCATCAGGTGCGGGTCGTGTGGGCTGAAGTTCCCCTTGCATTTGAGCTGAGGCGAAGGCCCGACTTGACTGTAGCGGCACTGTAGCGCTTGACTGATGATTGCTGGGATGTGTCAGGGCTTTCTCAAGCCTTAAATTGCTCGATGCAAAAAGAGGCCCTTCCAGGCTAAACTTCTCAGCCACCAGGTGAGAGAGCGAGGGCGTCCCAACCCGAAGAGTTCAGAGACAAAAGCCGCAGGTTCTTCGAGTTGCAAGATGGGCAGATTCGCTGGTGGAGGCATGCGATCCCGTTTCTTTGACGCCTGTTCTTCGTGCATGTGCTCGTTCCTAAGCTTCGGCCATCAGCCCTTCAGCCTTTCGCCTGAACCTGAAGTCTTAGACGCGTGGCAGCTAGGAATACTCTTCCCAAAATCATTGCTGCCAACCACGGGATGGGGTGGCAATGGCAGTATTCACCGCCGCCATCGCTCATGCACTGGCAGCCACTGGCACTACTACCAGCATTGCCATCACCAGGCTATTCTTCTTGCTGCTGCTGCGGCTCCCCCTGCTGCTAATGAGAGTGAAGACCAGGATAACGATGGTGCGCAAGCATAGAGGCTCCAGAGGCTCCAAAGGGTTCGGGTCACCACATGCTTGGCCTGGAGCCGTTGGAGGCCGTCCTTTGCAGATCAACTCCGGCAGCCCCGCCCGCCCCAGGTCCGCTGGACTGGATCGAAGAGTTGTTATGAATGGGCTAACATTCCCGCATCAAAAAAACTCGTGTACTGGAGAGCTAGGATTTTGCCTTGGGGCACTGGGATTGAATGATTGAATGCCTATGATTCGACGACATGCATAGCCGGCAGATTCGTGATCTCAGTGCTTGAAGCCCGCTCCTGGCGACGAGTATCAGAGTCACAGAATTCCGCTGTGTTGAGACCTATATACCCAAAAGGAGGCCTAAACACGAAAGCGGTTTGGGGAGGTGTGGCCTTGCTAAGCTTGAACCAGGTAGTCCGCAACAAAGAGCCGTGATCTCAGCTATGCTGCGACGATGCTGTGTTCGGTAACTTCGAGAATCGCTGTCGACCTTACCGATCTCGCTGTCTGTCTACCGCCTTGAGACCTGTTCTTCGCTTTTGGTTTACCCTGCGCCTGCGTTCAGAATTATGCATGTTCAACGGAGGCCGCGTCCTCGACCTGTGCGCTGCCTGGACCTCACGCAGCTGAAGCGCGTAACACGGACACAGGCCATTGACGGTTTGGCATCGCAAGGGCGGGTATTGCGAAGGGCCAGTTGTCTAAGCATTCCCTCGTTGACCTGTTCTTGTGCGGGTCAGGTCCTGTGCGCTTTTGCGCTCCCTTCCTCCCTCCTTCCCTCCCTCGCTCGCTCTCCGTCTCGCTCTGGCAGCTCCTGCGTCTCGCCTCTCTGGTTCTCTACAATAAATAAGGACGACTGCTCCTATAGCCGCGGGAGGCAGCGCCGGCAGCAGCAGCAGCAAATGCCACCGCCACCTCGCAACAGCAAGCGCAACTACAGCATATTGATGAATATGTACTTTGATGCCGACCGACACGAAGCTGTTCGACTCACACGAATCCCAGGCATCCTCTACTCCCCTATACTCCGTGTGTTTCCGAGTTTCGGAAACGGGGGTAAGAGCCAAGGTCGCCAGAGCACGTCGGAAGGCATCAAAGTACTACAGAGTCGACTGCATCATACTTTCTTTCGGAAACTCAGAGTCATTTTCGAGATAAGCTAAGCGAGCATATGTTCTGAACTGAACATGCCGCAAGACACCCCAAAGCAACGCAAAGCCGTTGGGGCGTTGGAAAGGAGTGACAGTGCATGCAGGTGAAGTTTCCCTACTCTACTCGCATCTTGCTCCAGTTCAAGGAGGTCCTGTGGGCTGCAAAGGGGGATGCTTGAGACGGCGAGGAGGAATCGAAGCAAAGAGGAAGCCCTCCTGTGAAAGGACTACACAGACTACCAGCTCGAGCTGAGATCGGAGCGGGAGCTGGAGATCATGGAATGGCGCTGCCCCCAGAGTTCTATAGGGGTGCAAGAGGCAGTCACACTTTTTGACCTACCTTCTTTCTCTGCTGGGCTGCTAGTCTTCTGTTGCAAATTCGGTGCCTCACGAGTTCAGCTTTGCAGACATTCCGCTGTCTGGCAACAGACCAGGTACAAGATCTTGATCCGGTTCACCATGGAGAGCTGTGAAGCTGTGGTAGATCGAGATGATGGTCGTGCACATCCCTCAGACGCCTCAGAGTCTCAGAGAGGTAAGGTCTACCTACAGATTTTTTCCGCTTGACATCAATGCCGCAACTACTTGGTGCAGCGCATGATGCACCTGCCAAGTCAGCGCTCTTCTCTCGCTCTCCCTCTCTCTCTCTCTCTTTTTGTTGTTTAGCGCTTTCTGTCTGTCTTCGTCTCTGTGACCGTGTGTGCAGATGCAGCATGATCTCCGTTTCGTTCTTTGATTCTTTCTTTCCCTCTCTCTCCCTCTCCGTCCCCTCTCTCGAGCTTGTGCATGTGCGGTTGCACGCAACTCCCGGGGGACATGTGATCATGCAATGGAGCGTAATTCTCACATTCTACATGGACCGGGTGAAATTGCGCTGCAGATGCAAGTGGGCGGCTCAGGTTGCACTCGGCCAGGACAGCGAAACTGATCTGGATGCGCGAGACCGGATGTAGGCCACACACAAATCAAGTGAACGTCTGCGTGCCATCAACTGGCGGACTACATGCAGTCAGGAAGTACGAATGTTGCTGTGCTAGCGGACGTGTTGATGTTCGCATGGCAATGGTGCCTGCAAGTATTGTCAGAGGTATCCACCAAGTGGAACTTCAATGCCCGTAGTGTGCCGAAGTCGACACCCTAGAACCTCATGTGGAGTTTGCATGTTGGCTTTCGCTTGTACAGAACACCGCGACAAGACGATGATCGTCCCACCACTAGGCAGCACTGCGTGTGTCCATGATTCATTTATGGCTTTTCTTCGCTATAGCGCTGCTTTTTCCGCCGGTGGTGGGCTTGCCATGCTCGCAGCAGCTCCGCCAGTTCCTTTCGGATTGCACACACATCTCCGCACTTCACTATAAGTTTAGTTTCTAGTGGCTCGAAGATGGACAGGGCACAGTCGGACCAATTCCACACCACATCACTTCACCACGCCTCTTGCACGAAGCTGCCGCCTGGCGTGGAAAAGTAGCGGCTGACAATGCAGGCCTCATTTCGTTGTGGGATGGGCTCCATGTCAAGCCTTCCCAAATGGAGTTATTGTGTTGTGGAACACCTCCCCAATGAAGGTTGAATGCCAGTGGTTTTACTAAAAGGTGGATACCCTAAGCCCTAAGTACAGAAGTGTTTTCTCATGTTTCGAATCCTTGAAGCCTCTGGCTCGCCTGCCACCACTCCGGAAGCCTCGCAAAACCTACTCCAGAGCAGTTGAGGCCCAGATCAGCGTGAGTGGCTGCACCCACGTCAGCGTCGGTCCGATTGCCCCTCGGACTCGGCTTCGTGGTTTTATTGGGGTTCTTGCTGTCAGTGATGGATCTCGCGCTTTGCGTGCAAGGAGGGGCTGACTTCAAAGCTGCAAGTGCTGCAGGTCAGGGGGAACTACTCCGTAGATGGCTCCAACCACAACAAGCCGGCATACCGGAAGGAGCAGAAGGCCTCCCTCTCCGAATGGCAGCTGTCGTCTTCGATGCTTCGGTCTTCTTTTGCAGTTGCTGCTCTGAGACGGGAACTTCTGGTGTTAAGTGTCTGTGAGGTGAGTGGCCTGGACGTCATGCTCCTGAGCTGCAGAACCGTCGCCAGTAGGGCGATTAAACAAGCTGAACCTTGCGTCCGGTCGGTAGGCAAGAGCAGCAAGGCTCTACTACTGGGACGAGCGCGATGGTGTCGAGTTCAGTGGCTGGTGGTTTGGGCCGAAGATTGGCGGCGACCAGGTGGTTGGGGTGGAGCTGTCTGCACTTTTTGTTCGCATTTCCTCGCCTTGGGCACCCCTCATATCAGCCACAAGTTTAGGGACACCGCACCCGATGCAGAGGTTGCAGTGCAAGCACGGCCAGCATGTGCACAGTTTCATTACCTTCAACAAGTTTTGTCGGGGTTGTTCAGACGTCAGTCGTTGATGCGAGGTACGGCATTGCCATGTCTTCAGTNNCTGGCACCAGTGATGCCGCAGGTTTGGGCCTACCAGCCGACACGAGCCACGCAGACGCCACCGCGAACCGGATGGAAGGCAGTCTTTATGTGCTTATGATGCATGAGGTAGATGCACTTCGTTCTCATTACAGTACATTGATTACCGCAGTCTCTTTCATGATACTTCACCTCACTATCAGTATCCTTGTCGTGAAATGACATCGTTGAAGTTATCGCAGGTAAGCTCTCTGTTCCCGTTGCTCCCATGTAGTGGCCTATGACATAATATGATGGCACGTCATCATACCAAGCTACTCCTTCAAGAG